GGCGGGGTGCTAGGAGGGGGAGCATCAGGACAAATAGCTAATAAATGCAGTGCTTAAAACCTAAATGACTAGTTGACAGGGGCAGCAAACCACCATGGCACACATATATCTATGTAACAAACCTGCATGTTCTGCACATGTATTCCAGAACTTAAAAAAAAAAGATAGCGATTTTTTGGTTGTTTATTGTTTTTGTTATTTTGTTTTGACATTTAGTACGATGAAGACTTAGTTTAACTATTTTTATCATTAAGAAATATTCTTGTATTTTAAGTTGTCTTTTATTTGAAAACCATTTGCAAATCAACTTTATAAAAATAGTATTTGGAATTTAGTATGGTACAGTGGGTTCGGGTTTCACATTGTTCCTAGTCCCCTATATTCTAGTGTAGTCCCCTGATTTCTACATTTTTAAAAATATTTTTGTGGACTTCCTGGCCCCTTGGACATTTAAGCTAGAGATACTTGTATTGGATTTTAAAGTGGAAATATATGAAGTTTTCTCAAATTTATATATAAAGTTCGTAGAAACAAATTTAATTTTATTTTTCCAGGCGTTATGCCTTTAAAAAGCATACTGTTCAAGAGAATGCCCTCTGTAGTAAAATTTTGGTGCATGGTTGTAATAATAAAATATACATTGTTTAGTTATTTCGTTTATGGTATATTGTAGAAAACACAGTGATCGGTGAGGAAAAGCTGAGCTGAAGCAGGTGATTTACAGGAAAAGAACAAGAATGGTGCCCAAAAACAAAAAAACAAAAAAACAAAAAAAACAAAAAAACTGAGAAACACACAGATACATTAGGTTTTTCTTCCTCTCTAGCTAATGTAGCTGATTTGAAAGGAAGTGATTGCTTCGTTGAGTCAAGACACTTTCATGATTGTTACTAAGCTTCCTCTGGTGGGCAATCTCATTCTCACTCTTATAGCCCCCAGGGAACTGCATGGGTGCACACTAGAGGGTTTTCTGACCAAAGTTCATGTACAGTGTAATTTAAGTAAAAGCCCTGATTATGTTCTGTGCTGCTCTGAGTTAAATGATAGGAAAACCTGATATGTGTGGAAGAGCAGAAGGCAAGTGCGTGTGTTTTTCTCTCCTAGTTCAAAAAAAGATAGCATAAGAAATGAATTAACTAATGCAATTCTATACATTAAGCAGCTGATACTAGGAAGTTGGAAGCAAAAATAGAGTATCAAGAATATTGACAAGACCAATTTACTGGTTTATTGGTTTATATATCACATCTGATTGCTTCAACATAGAACCATACTTAAACATATATATGTGTACACACACACACATATGATTGGCATATATTCATCTGAATATTACAAGGAGTTAATATCAGCCATATTAAAATCTATTGTATTTGTATTGCTAAATGCCCTACTTTGAATTTCTCAGTGGGTCTGTTCATTTTCCTGTGAGATGATTTTAGATATATCCAAAAGCATTCTCTGAATGATTAGGACACTTTAGGAATTGATTCTATTAGCAATCTACCTTCTGGTAGTATACACCATATCCTTAATACCATCCCACTTTATTAAATCCTGACACCACTCAATGAAAGACAGCCAAAGGGCTACTGTTATGATGGAGTCCATTGTTTCTAAATTTATAACAGGTTCCATGTGTTTACTCTCCTAAATTCTACCTGCTGTGTTTAAATTACTGGTTTGTTAAAACAAGGAATAGGAATAGAAAGGAATAATCATTTTAATACTTGAGGGTGTGTTTTATTTGATTCATAGACTGATTTATGTTATAGCAAGCAACTGGAAGAATAAAAACTTATAAAAATAATAACCAATACATTATAGCTTTACTTTCTCAGTTGTCTTGAAAGCATAGTGGCTTAAACCTGAGTGGCATCCTTTGTTTGAAATAAAGGTAGAGGCAAGAGATGCAGCCCCCACCCCATCCTGGGGTCGGACCATCCTTACCTGGCACTATTTTTTCTCACTACTTTTCACTATCTAATAAATTATGAAATATACATATTTATTGTGCTTGTTCTTCAACTCACAGAATGTAAGCTCTGTGAGGAGAGAGATTTTTAAGTATTTCATTTTACTGCTATAGTCCTATAGTAATCACTCAGTAAGTATTGGTTGAGTAAATGAATTATTATAAAACATCAGAATGTGACACTGCATAAGAATTTGAGCAAAAACATTAGTTAATGTTGATTCTGGGCCTAGTGAAGAAGTTTGGGTTCCCTTATTCACTTTATTAAATTGTAACTTTAGGAGGTTGAGAAAAATTGAGAAACATCTACCAACAAATTGTGCTTCCCATGACTTCATGCCCTTGAGTCTTTTCTCCTTTGCCCAGATGGCTCCTTCTGTCAAAAACTTCTTTCTTTGTATTTCTGACTGGCTAATTCCTAATTACCTTTCCAAAAACTTATTTCCAGTAGTCATTCTTCTACGAAGTCTTCTTTGACACCCCCAATATGGTATAGATGCTTCTCTGATATTCTCAACCACAACTCCATTCTTTAAATCATATCGGATTATATATGTTTAGCTTCCTTCTTCTCCCCTGCTCTAAAGGCAGGGGTTATAGTTTTTATTGCTGTTGTTGTGTTTGTTTTAAAAATTCAGATAGTGCTCAGTTCCCAGAAGGTACTCGATTAAAAAGAAAAGTGGGGTGGGTAGGTGGTGATGATACGGAGGAGAGATGGGAGGGGGAATAGGAAAAAATAGGAATAAAAGGTGATAATTTCTTGCTTGTTTTAATCAAGAGAGAATATCTAGCCAATGAAAGAATTAAGGTATTACAATAGATTTCCAAGAGGCATTTATTTAAGGAATTCAGATCATATTTTAAGCCAGGTAATATTCTAGGCGCTGAGGGTGCTGAAGTGAGCTAAGAGATAATGTCTTTGCATTCATAGAGGTTATATTTTAGTGGGGAAGACAGACAATAGTTGAGTATAATACTGTTTGTAAAACAATGCTTAACAGAATGTAAAATTAATATAAAATGTGTATAAATTATAAAAATACATGAATTCCAGATATGTATTACAGTACAGAACTTGGGGATGTTTAAAGGATTTCAGAACTAAGTGTCAAAGCTGTCTCTTTGCTCAAGAGACCTCAGAATTCTTTCCTCGTAAAATGCTGTACATGGGATCCCAGAATGGGAAACACAAAATGAATCCCTCGAGGAGTGGCATTTGTAACTTAACACGTGTACATCAGCCCACGTGAAATGCAGAGGGAACACTTTGTATAGACCTTACAGGGCCCTGGTTCCAGTTGCTTGTGGAGGCATCGAGCCCTGAAGGGAGACGGGGTCTGGAAGGCTCCCAGCCCGCAGGCCTCCTTCATGTGCAGCTGGGCGAGACCCCAACGTCTTCACTGACAACAGAGACGCAAATGGTTTTGAGAATCTAAAAACGAAATGCACCACTCCAGACTTTTGGTTAAAGATGACTTAACCTTTTTCACTCTCCACGGTCTTAATTATCTTGGTAATATTTACTAGTCAGTTATAGAAGACAAATAATTTGTGTTTTGTATTGGGTTGGAGAAGCTTCCAGACTATGGGTACCTGTAGTTGACTGATAGTATAAGGACTATGATACCATGCTTGTACCAATATAGGTGGATTATTTTACGAGCATGTGGAAGGGCATAGAGTATCACAGTGATTTGTGGTAGAAGAAAAATATAAAAAAATTACAGTGAATGAGGAAGAATGCTATTATTGCAGTATATAAGACTTTGATTACATATTGCCAAGATTCATATCAGCCTAGAAGTTGTTGACAGATAAAGTAACAAAAATGAAACTCATTTATTCTTTCCTTATTGAGACCTCAAGGTAAAGCAGATTTTCAGTTTTTGTACTTACTGCATTGATAGAACAGAGACTGACACAAAAATGTGTCAGCCCAGAAATAGAAATTAAACCTAGGTTCACATCAAAATTTCATTTAGCCTTGGAAAAGGAGCTGCTGTTTGAATTACTTTTGATCCTAAAATAAATATACTAAAGAATACTGCAGTATATCTGGTATGGATTAACCCTTCCCTGTGAGCCATACTTTCAAAGTTGTTGTTTTCATTCTATAAGGCTTTATTTTTGCAGTGTTTGAGGCAACTTGAATTATCGTCAGAGTAGGGTACATTTTGCTGAATGCAAATTAGTAGCAACAGACATATACATTTCAGTCTGCAGGAAGTATGAAACTAGATTTGGAAAATTAATAGCAGACCTTTTTCTCTATTACAAAGTTATACCTTATGCTACAGTTTGGTCATGAAGATAAGGACAGAGTAAGTGGAAGACGTGATGTGAGAAATTTTGCTTAGTGATGTTGAGATTGTTGATGTGTGTGGAATAAATTTCTGGCTAAATCATTTGTACCTTCCCTTCATGTTACTGAAGTTGACATAAGAAAGATCTATAAGCAAGCCTCTCTCTTTTCTCTTCCTTCCTTCCTAGTTTTCTCCCTTCTTCTCTCCCTTTCTTTCTTTCTCTCTCTTTCTCTCTCTCTCTTTCTTTTCACCCAACTAGCAACATGTACATTCTGCTGTAGTTCTTCATAATTAAGATAGTACTAAATTGCCTGTGGAATTCTGGACACAACAACATGATACACTTAGTGAAACATCAGTTAGTAAATATAATCATCAGTGAGCTCTACACATCATTATAATTTACGTCCATTTCATGAGTGTATCCTAAAAATAGTTTGGCTTAAGTTTTTTTTTTATTATTATTCTAAAGTCTATGTTTGGTAATTTTCTCATTAACTTTTAGCAACAGAAAGATAGCATGAACTTGTTTCTTGAGTTACCTTTTCTGACCTTTTGCAAGATGATAATTATAAAAAAGGGAGGCCTGGAAGACTTGTAAAAAAATTAAGCTTATAAAAGAGCTAAAATGGTCCTTCTTTGCCGGTGTCGATTTCAAAATTAACATTTTGGTTCATGTGCTTCTAATAATCACTGACCCTTACCTCGTGTACTTTCCACAGGAAATGAATATGGCAGAAATTACTTTGACCCACTGATGGATGAGGAAATAAACCCAAGGCAGTGTGCGATGGAGGTCAGCAGAGAAGGTGAGCTGGAATTAAGTATGTAATTTTTATGTCAGAATATTCTTTTCCATTCATGAAAATGAGGTGACAAAGATCACACATGCAGTTCCATTTAGATTTTGCAGCTTACAATTTAAATGGTAAGTTTTAACCACTAACAACATGATGGGCAGTGAAGGTAATTTTTCATCAAGGACAGCGGGCTGGTCAGATGGAAGAAGCACCAATGTGCTTTCATCTGATGCTGCTGTGAGGAGTTTGATGCTATCATAAGGCCCATGTATGTGTCTGAGGAACATCATCACCTTCAAATGCATCTCTGCTTTTTGAATTTAAAATGAACATTCTTCAACAAATTGCATCTAGCACAGGAGATTTCCATATCTCCTGTGATGATTGAATTTCTTTCCTTGAATTCATGGAACCATCACTTAACTTTAGAATTTTGAAGGGGAAGTGATAGGATAACAATTTCCTCTTCTATAATCTTGAATATTAGTTGTGGTTGTAAAATAATAATTCAAAATTGCTCCTTAAGTGCATAATATTATGCATATTTTATAGTTTACAAAATACTCGGGTTTTTATAAAGGTTATTGCTGAGATATTGACAATGACAAATGTTACTTAGAATCAGCTGCAATACAAACCATATCCCACCAGTGGGTGCCAGTCATTGAGTCTGCACGTTTTAATAAAAGAGTAGGGTAAATTCTTACAAAAAGGATGCAAGCATAGTGCAAAAATTATTGTTATAAAATAGCTCTCAAAAACCTATTTTTAGATAATGCAGAATCCACAGATATTATCAAAAGACCTATGTGCAAGATAGGACAAAAACTCAGAGTTAGTTTTCACTGGTAGCTCTAAAGTCAGGGTGCATGTGAGGCTGGAAAAGTTCAGCCTTCTATTTACCCAAACACACTTGGGGGGTGAGAGACAATTCTAGTGAGTTCTGGGGCGGGGTATTGATTGAATTATCATTGACGTCTATTAAAATTTTGTAGGAATCACAATATATAGTTATATATGGTGGAATATTTGTAATGTGAGGACTCCCTAATTTTGGAAAGGTGACTTATTAAGTTATGTTCAATGAATAAGGAATGGTTCTAACTACAGACAGGGAAGTTTTATAAAATATTGCTGGTCACCTTTTCAGCTTCCCTAGTCAGTTATTATTGCCTGACTCCCACGGCTGACGTGGGATTCCCTGTTTCAGATCAGGAAGCTCTTCCTGTGCTTGTACCTGCAGCCAGATCTGTGCTGGTATGTGCTGTGGGAAGTTGGGGCTGGCTCTCTCGCTAGCTGCCAGTTCCACCTTTCTAATGAGCTCCTTTGCGATTGTTTTTGTTTTATTTCCTCCACTTCCTTCTAACTGCCTTCCCACTTTTTCTTCTCTTCTGCTTTTATTTTTCCCCCTCATTTCTTCCTGAGTGTTTTTCCCCCCTCTTCTTTCTGGAGTTCCTTTGTATCTACAAGATACATTTTATATGTATTGAAAACGCATCATCACCACCTATCCCCCCCACCACACACACTTTTCTTTTTAATTGAGTACCTTCTAGGAACTGAACACTATCTGAATTTTAAAAACAAGCACAACAACAACAGTAAAAACTATGACCCCTACCATCAGGGCAGGGGAGAAGAAGGAAGCTAAACATATATAATCCGGTACAATTTAATGAATGGAGCTGTGGTTGAGAATATCATATGACAATATCTTTTGGAGTTGAAATAGGAGAGCAGAAGAAACAGGAAGATGCAGGTGTGCAGAGAAAGAGCTCAACTCAGCGCCTCCTGACAAGATGTGTCCTCAGCCTTGTTATGCAGACACATAACATCAGAGCCTCTGGGTGGGTTCCAGAGAGGGGCAGACTGAAGCAAGCTGCAGTTCACAGCAGTTCATGTGGCAGAATTTTGGGAACACCTCAAAAGTCTTTCTTGTACACATCTGTCTTCACTTAGGTTGAGTTTTTTGTTATTGTTGTTTGTTTTTTAATAGGGTCTCACTCTTCAGCTCAGGCTGGAGCTGCAGTGGCATGATCTCAGCTGACTGCAACCTCCGTCTTCTAAGCTCAAGTGATCCTCCCACCTCAGTCTCCTGAGTAGCTGGGACTACAGGTACACGCCACCATGCCTGGCTAAATTTTGTATGTTTTGTAGAGAAGGGATCTTGCTGTGTTGTTCAGGCTGGTCTCAGGCTCCTGGGCTAAAGCAATCTGCCTGCCTCAGCCTCCCAAAGTGCTAGTATTATGAACCGCCACAACTGGCTTGGTTGAACTCTGTTCTTATGTTTATTTGTTCATAATCTATATTCCAAAACAATTTGAGATAGCTTGCAATAGAAACATAAATGCACGTAATTATAGAAAAGTTCAAGTAAAGACGAAAGGGGGATTTGAGAACATCTACAAAAGAGGACAAGTTAATGTACAAAAAAACCAGGACAATATTATTACCATAATTAAGCACTCATTTTTACACTGAGCTTCCTGGAAGTCATGGTATAAAGAGAAACACCATAAGTAGGCTAGCTCCTATTTATAATAGAAATTATGCTCTTTTTTTAAGTGTAAATAAGCCACCACCACCACCACCACGTTTTTATTTTTTACACTAAACTTTGGAAGGGTAATATAATGTTCATTTTTATATGGTAGAGAGTAGAAATTGCAAAATGCTTTATTATTAATTACTGGTAAATACCTTTTACTTAACATAGAATACAGATTTCAGTGCTACTACTATGTAGTAGGTGTGTAACATTTTATTATTTTCCAATTTTGCTTATGACCTGATGTAGGTAATAATAACTTGTGGATTAGTCAGAGTTCTCCAAAGAGGGATAACCACCTAGATAACCTTTTGACTCTCTTCCAGAATAATGTTTTTATAGTGTGTGTGTGTGTGTGTGTGTGTGTGTGTGTGTGTGTGTGTGTGTGTGTGTGTTTTGCAGGGGGTAATGACATGGCCTTAATGCTTTAAATTCACAAAAGAATTTAGAAGCCCTGTATTTCCTACTATATTGCAATAGCATATATTAAAGAATCCAGAACCATCTAAATTTCTTGTTTCTCATACCTAAATAGAAAAAAAAATCACATATAGAGAGTAGCTAATAGAAAACACTCATTCATTTTGATCACTTGTATATTCTTTTGTATGTTTTAACAAACCAAAATGGCTTATTCTGAGAAGATTCTTGCGTAATAGATGTCGTAGTTCATTGAACATGAGATCAGTTTTAATGGAGAAGTATCCTATTATGCATGTCTTGTAACATACATTTAAAAATCATTGTTCTAACTATCACTGATTTACAAAAGGGGTTTTCTTTTTCAGAACATGGCAGCATATTGAGTATTGAGTTGTGTCTATGACCCAGAATATAACTAAATGGCCATGATGGTTAATAATTTCTTTTTGTAATTATGTTTTCATATCTATAAATTAATTGATGAGAAAGTTATCTTGTACATGTTCTTTTAACACTCCTACTAGGTGATGATAGAATTTTCTATAATCAATTAACAAACCATTTTGATGAGAGCAGACAAAGAAAACCCCAAGGTAAGAGATCAATTATCTTCAATCTTTTATTTTAACATTAGTTGTAAATTGATTGAAATGGTTTCTTGGAAATGCTCACCTATCTTTTCTAAATATAACCATTCACTGATTACCTATGTGAGCTTTCAATGGTTGTAGATATTTAAATGTAGCTGAAGTTTAGGGGAAAAGTAATTATGACCCAATTTCCTATAATTGCATATAATTTATAACCCTAAGTGGTAAAAATGATTTAAGATTTACTGTTGAAGGATCTTAAAATGGCATACGGCATACTTGGATTCACTAATTTATGAGGCGATGTGCTACTCTTTTTAAAGACTGTGTCTTAGCTTTTAAACAAATGCTTTTGGGTGGTAGAAGACAAGTAGTATATTGTTCTCAACCTTAGTGTGGAAATTCACATTTGCAAATGTTAGGCTCTTTAAGTAAGAAATTATTTTATGTATTAAACTAAAAATTTAAAGGTCACCTTTAAAAACTGAATTTTAAATTCTTAGTTTAACGCATATAAATTCATACCAGAACCATATTGTAGTTTTTGCCAAAGAATTAAATATAAGTTGCCATATATTTCACGGGGAATAATTCTATTATTATTATTATTTACCGTGTGTGCTTAGTGCTTCTCAAACAATCATTTGTCTTCCTTATTAAAATAACTCCTCAAAGTATGTATAAGAGGAGAGGGCTGATCATGATTAAGTCTACTCATAGTTATTATTTCTATTAAATTTATGCTTACCTTTATCATTTACTAGCTGTGTGACCTTGGACCAATTAATTAACCTTTCTTTGTCATTTTTGCCAAATAAACATATAACACCTGTCACGTGGAGTAGTTATGAGGACTAAATTATTATTATATGAGCAAATGTGACAAGCACATACCTGGAATTATAAAGATAATAACAATAATCTTGCCGGCAAAAATATTAATGCCAGTTAAACATTTGAGTGCTTCCTAGGTGTGTGGAACTGTCCTAAACACTGTTCTAAATAATCCACTTGTTTAAACTTCATAACAACCTTTAAAGTTTAGTCCCCATTTTTATCCCCATTTACAGTATAATACCCTTTACAATTGTATTCCTGCTTGGGCACACCTCCCCTTAACTTTTTAGCCATCAGTTTGTGTGGTCAGCCATTTATTACTTTTTGCCTTTGTAAACAAAGCAAACTCATTTTTCAAGCCGGGTCATTCTGGGAGATCCCAAGTTGAAATGGTGTATTAGAATTATCCAGAGAAGTAGAATCCAGTTGGGCTGAAATATGTTATAGAGAGACATTTATTTTAAGAAATTGGCTCACTCCATAGCCAGGATAGCAAGTCTGAAATCCTTTGGACAGGCTCGCAGCCTAGAGAATCAGGTAGGGGTTGATGTGAAATTCAGGCAGGAGTTGAAATTGCAGTCTTGAGTCTGAATTCCACAGGGCAGCAGTCT